TCCCTCCTCCCTCTCCCTCCTCCCTCCTCCCTCTCCCTCTCCCTCCTTCCCCTCTTTACATTAGATATGTTGCATGGCATAATTTCTCAGGGATACACCTCAGCATGAGTTATCAAATGTATGCTACTCAGGGTTCAATTTTTATCCTGTTACATCTTATAAATAGTGATCATCCTACTCTTGTCTTGAAAACTTCAAAACTGGTTTCTCTTTCTATTCTTTCTTCACCTCATTTTTATAGACATATCTATATACACATAGTAAACGTAATGAACTTTCAACTTCTGTTAGTTTGTCTCTTCTGTTTCGCTGAATAGTGTTCTTATTTATATTTTCTTTCTGTTTATTTTCATTTCATCTCCGTTTTCATTTTAGGTAACAGTTCTGTCATTGAATAGTTTCACTCTTGTAACCAAGCTTTTATCTGTAAACAGTTCCTTAATTACACATGGTTGACTTTTAGAAAATTATACTTAAACTTTTCTTTACTTCAAACATGTTTTAATGTTTTTCAAACTTTAAAAGTTATTTGTGTATTGATTATTTTAATTGTATTTTCTTTACATTTCTGTGTCTATGCTTAACCTTAATTTCTGATATTGTTTGCTAATTACATTAAATATCTGTACTGTAGTGAATGTTTTAATAACTTATTTTCAGCTCACCAATACTTCTGTTTCAGCACATGCTAGTAAATATTCTCTGAATTTAAAAGAATAGTCATAGGAAGATATATCACATTTCTATTTCACAGAGGTAGCTATCAGTACATATTTAGTCATTTAACCTAATTTTTATAAATATGTTGCTTAAATCTTACTTCTTATTTTCTAAATGTCCTTTAAATTTGCATGTATATTTGTCTGTTTTTAATTTCAGTTTATACTGCTCTAGTTCATATTTTTGAAGCAATATTGTTGTGCGATTAAATATTTATCCACCTTGAATGAGAACAATATTTCATGTGGTTGCTTAGTGATAAAAGTTTCACACTAGAACTTGATGTCATTTCTTTCTTTTTTTCTGACTTACCTTTTGGCAATGTCTTTGTGTCCTCCAATTGATATATCTATAGTGAATTTCTATGGCCGCATAGAAAGTGCCATATGAAGATTTTCCATCAGGTTATATTTCTATTGATATGCATTTCAGGTATGCATTTTAAAATGCCCTTATGTCTCCGGCATTATTAACATGCTTTTAATTCATTTGAGAGTCGCTAAGGTATATAAAAGTCTTGCTCTGTTTCTATGCAGGAAAGATTTTTAAATAATCATATTTTAAGTTGAAATTTACACTTTTTTAGAAATGTTAGTATTTCCATCCTAGAGAGATTCTGAGTTTTGTATTTCAGTGTATCATATGAACAATTCAGTTCACAATTGAAAGTAAAATAAAAATGAGAAAATTGAAGTGAGAAAAATATAAGTAAAGGGAATACATAAGATTTTACAATATTATAACATACTTATATATTTAAAATATACTACAAAATATTAATAGCCAATATTATTATAACCGTATAAATACTGAAAAAATAAATTTCATTGGGGAAAGAACTTGGAAAATGATAATTATTTACTATATCTAAAGAAACAAAAATTATTATATTCACTATCACATCAATTTTTACTGATAATACGTGAGTGTACTAGACACTCATGACATAAATTTATATCATTTCATGTGAAATAATGTAATTTTCATATATAATTTCTACTTACATATATCATGTTTGTACATAACTTTTTTACATAGATCTATGTTGGCTAATTAGTAATTAAAGTACAAAAGAATAAAAATCAGCAATAAGACACTATTTACTAATACTTAAAGTAAAAGTTGAATTTATGTGTTTTAATTACTTAACTTAATATTAACATTTCAACATCAGATAAATGTCATCCTTATCTCTAAAATCAAGCTAGATTTCAAGCATTATTTTTATGTGTTTGGTTTAAGGTTTCCTGACTAATAAAATACATTTTGACTGAATCATAACAGTCAGTTTTCTAGCCATGGGAAATTTTATGCTTATGTATAATACAGTTGATTTGATGTCCTGTTTTATAAAATTAAATTGTGATGATCAACCTTTTTTCCTTTTTTAGGAATGGCAAACTCATTGAAGAAAATGAAAAGTATATTTTAAAGGGCAGTAATACAGAGCTTACTGTCAGGAATATAATCAATAAAGACGGGGGCTCGTATGTCTGCAAGGCCACAAACAAGGCAGGGGAGGATCAAAAGCAGGCCTTCCTTCAAGTATTTGGTAAGTATCACAGCACTGTGCTTGCAGCACAATATACATCCAAGGGGGAGGAAGTCAATGCTGACCTTCCTTCTGCTATCAAATGCAAACTATAAACTGTCCATAGACAAAACCCATTTCTTCATTTCAACAACATACATTCAATAATTCATTCTTTCAATATGTTCTTAAGAGTGAAATGAAGTAATATGCAGAATTTCATAGAATATTGACTGATTCTTAACAGATGGTAAAAGATAGGCCATGCACATTTTACCCAACTGTATGATGTAATATATTTCTGAATATCTATGCTCATACATCATTAATGGACATATGTTGAGATTGATATTATATTTGATATTTTCTAAATTTCTCATTTGAAAGGCTCTAGTTTAGAAATGTTTTTCTGTACCTTTAATTAGTGTCTTACCATCTTCAGAGACAACATGCAAACATTATTCATACCAAATAAGAGACATCTTTCTTGGGAAGTTTTCTGAGCCTATAGAATAGTAGAAGTATTGATTTTACTCTCATCATTTTGACCAAAAAAGAGACAGTTGCAACAAAACTGTGAAATCTACAGTTAAACAAGCTTGAGGCTTGAAATGATGCTGGCTCAGTGGTTACAAACACTGGGTTCAGTTCCCAAAACGCTGTGGTTTCATTCTTAGCACACAAGGTGGCTCACTACCTATCACGTGTAATTCCAGTTCCTTTGGATCTGCTGCCTCCTTCTGGCAGCCCCAATACAAAATTTGAAGAAAATTTATGAAACAATGAAAATTTGAATAATACCATGTTTCCAGAATGCTATGGGATCAGATTAGTCAGATGGCAGTGGATAAAGCCTGCCATTTAGACCAGGATGGTTTTGCAGACTCAAGGTCAGATCATGCTAAAATGATGCTTATCAAAGTCTTCAATTATGATGTATAGAAGAAGCAAAAGCCATACTGAGATTGTTCACAGAGAATGAAGAACACACAGACTTGAACTATAAAAATACAAGGAATCCTTTACTAATCTTTCTCACTTAAAATGTTATCTTCAACATTGGAGAAAGTAAATAACTATTCTTCAGCATTAGGTGAGTAGTTAGAAATGATAGTGAATATGATACAATTCCCAAGAAGAGGTGTTCAACTGCACAATCTGTCTGAGTAATGCAAAATACCACTTAGTCATTTCTTCTTCTAGCAGGATGTCAGTAAGTGAGAGCAAGAAGATAAAAGAAGATTACTGTGATTTCTATCTTTTGAAACACAAACTAATACACACCATATTGTGTCATTGTGGGATCACTTTTTGAAGCAAGAAGGATAAATTATTGGGTTTTAAAAAAGGATATATATCTATGGTAATGAAAGGAAGGAAATATAAAACTACTAAAAGTTTCTTTTTTCATGATTCTGGTATCAGGGGTCTTATTTTCTTATTTCTGTTTAAAAATTCTCCATTTCTTATTTAATTATACTGATAATTTATAAGCTATGTGAACTGATATGATAAAGCTAGATTTTAGTATCAAATTCCTTTTTATTTTGCTAAATAAGCAAAAAAGAAAGGAGAGAAAGAAAGAGAAGGAGCAGGGAGAGAGACAGACAGAGAAACAGAGAGACAGAAGCAAAGAAGAGGCATCTTCATGAGTGTTTCTTTTGCAGTAATCAAACACCATGCCATAAGTAACTTGGGAAAGAAAGGTTCATTTCATCCTAATGCTCTTAGGCTACAGATGAATGATTACATAGTGGAGTCAGAGTAAGAACTCCCCAGGCTTGCTCAGGTTGATTTCTTCACATCATAGGATCACGTGCCCAGGGATGGCACCACCCACAGTAGCATGGTCTCAACCATAGTAACTTTAAGTCAAGAACATTTTCCATAGGCTTGTCTACAGGCTAATTTGATGAAGGCATATTCTTAAATAAGGGTCTGTCTCCTCAGATGATGATGTGTCATGTTAATACTAACAAAATAATTCAAACAACAACGACAGAACCCCTGGAAACAGATAAAACAAAGACCAAATTTTAGATCACTATGTCATTATGTAACTGTCAAGGCAGTATATTTTATTATAAAGAAAATTTTATACCAGTATACTTAATGTTGTGTTCTATAGGGATATAGCTATAAAGAAATTGTTAATACTAGTTCGATGCTTAATCAAATTAAAGATGTAACTTACCACTTGTAATTTAATGAAGAAAATGCTTGAATATGTCTTTATGTCATACAAATTTTCAGTTACATATAACTAAATGTATTAGGTACCAAGAAACTTTAATAATTTGTCTACTTTGTTGAACTTATTAAGAGATAAAATACAATAAATAAATAAGCACATGTTTATAAATGTGTTTTTAATCTATGTGTGTTTACAGATAACTGGTTTTAAAGAGGAAATTTCAATTTTGTGACTTTAGGAAACCAATAATAGAATGTGTTAATTTGACAAAATTTAGTAAGGAATTATATTTTCTGTGGATCTGACATAACTATTATAATGAAAATAGGTAGGATTTTTATTTAGAATTGTCCCCCACCTTATTTGTATTTTTTGGTATTTTTAGAAAGTATGTTTTAACTGCCATTGAAGTAGTCATCTCACAGAGTTCAAATGTGTAATCAAAAGTCTGTTATAGAATTTTTTACTGTGAATAGTAACCATTTTGGTCCAATACCAATCGAATAATATGTATATTTTTTTACAGTACAGCCTCATATATTACAACTTAAAAATGAGACAACATCTGAGAATGGTCACGTCACACTCATCTGTGAAGCAGAAGGGGAGCCTATTCCAGAAATCACATGGAAAAGAGCCATAGATGGAGTCACATTTTCTGAAGGTGATAAGGTAATACTGTTGTTTCTAGAGTAAACCATTCGTAGGTATATAATTTACCCATTACCTTATATGAACCAAATAAATAATTTATTAAAACTACCACTATGCCAGTTTAAAATGATTGTAGTGAAGCAAATATAAGTCAATTACTAACAGGTAAAATGTATTTGAATAGATTACAAAGTCTTAGGTTTTTATTATTTGTAAAGCAACTTCTGTGGATGTTTCATATATACTGAATCTCTAAAAAAGGTACTGCTAGTTTGACTTCAATCTTCTCTGTATAAATTAAGTCATTAAAATCTGAGGTACCTACTCAGTCTTTCCCTTTCAGAAATGTTTCTGTGCATAGACTTATGAATTCATGTAATTAAAAACTGTAACAAAAAGATATCAGGATGATAGAGCTACAACATTTTGATCTGCTTTCACTACAGTAAACTGAAGTTATGCAGAACTCAGATATTACCAAGTGTTGCACTCCATGGGCTTTTGTTATTGTTAATTTTCATAATCATTCAGTTAAACTTTAGTATACACAGAAAACAGAGAAATAATATAGAATCAGAAAGGCAGAGAAAGGGGCAAAGACATTCCTGAAAATCAAAACCCTACAATAATGTTTATATAACATTATATGTATTGAATACTTTTAATGTCTACCTATACAAGCTGGTGTGTATATAATAAAGCGCCTCAAAGAACTAAATTTACTAAAGTGACAGTAGGAAAATGAGGAATCATTTTGTTTACAATACATCTCTTGCCCTATTACCTGACTATATTGTATTCAACATCACATTATGTTCGTAAATCGATAAGGTATAATAAATTGAGAAGTTGTCAGTTTTGTTCACTTCTCATTTAAAAGACTGTCTTTGATATGCCACATTTTTCAAGTGTTCTTTTAATGCCATTTTTATAGCAGTGTACATCTCATTAGAAAATAATTAATGATATTCACTAGGATTATTTTATATATTCCCTTAAAATACGAAAAACCCAAATGTGAGTGACCACCATCATTTTTTTGGAAGCATTACAGTTCCCCTTAATATTATGCCAGCTCAAAAACTTAGCGATCGGTATGGCATTGTTAGCAAGTATAAGATCAATTAATATTTGTAAATTAGTAAAACATTGTAAACATGGTAAATTTGTAATTTGTAAATTAGTGAAAACATTATCAGATATCTAAAATGGTAAGAGACCGTTTCATTTTAGCAAATTCCTATGAAAGAATCAAGTAATTACTTTCATACCATTACTCTTCTTAGGATATTCTCCACAGGTCACATATTCTGATTTATTATTATTTTCCTAGCTAAAAGTTCCTGCTTCTCTGTGTTAACACATTTTTTTATTTGACTTGCATCCTTATATCTATGTGCTGAACATGAAATGTATATTACCTGTTATTTCATCAATAAAGAAGCATCAAGAAAACAAAATATCTGACATTTGTTCTAATAGCAATGTACCGAGCCATTTCAAACTTACCACCCAGAAATTAATTTCTTACATAGCAGCTATGGAAAGAAATTTTTTTGATAAGCACTACCACTCCCAAAATAAACTTTTTAAAACATAATTTACATTCGTGAAGCAATTATAGAAATGGAATTTTAATATAACTTTATAGAGTAGACAAATTACTTGATTTCTATGATGACATTTCTCAACTGATTGCTGATAATCTAGGTGTCATATGACATTTCTGAAAGTGTTCCTAGTCTCAACAGAAAGTCCACAAATTGAAGAATTGAGCTGAGCATTGAAGGACATTGAAGGAATGCATATAATTATTTTTAAATCCATCCTTGACACATTTATATGCTCAGCTTTGTGAAATAACATTTGGATCATTTAATAAGACTACTTCCATGCTTACACTATTTTTCATGATGCTTATTAATAGCCTATTTTAATAACAAAATGAAAAGTATATTGTAAGTCTCATGTCAATATGTTTTCTTGTTCAAGTTATTTCATTACTCTTATAAACATGTGAATTTTGATTATGAATATTCTTTATAAACTGTGGCACCTATGGTCTGACTGAATATTAAAATTTGCAGGTTGGATTGAGATTGTATCATTTCTGTTATGGAATGTGACATGACATTGAATTTTCTATGATAATCACAAGGAGATACTGTAACAGTTCAGATTCCATATTCTCAACCTTGAAGTTAGTTCAATATTTCTTGTTCACAGCTAAGGAATATTTGATATGAGCCATATGTGTATTAATTCAGGAAACTTCTGGGAAATAAACTTTAACTTCTTGGCTCTTTATCAAGATGAAATTCAATAACTAGCTATTCCAATAAGAAAATATTATTAACAGTGCTGTGAAAGACACTGATTGAGACTTGAAAATACAACACAAAATAATCATAACATTCCAAAGAAAAGCAAATCAGGCTTTGATGAAACTGTAAATATATATGTCATAATAAATAATGTTATTTCATTCACTCTGTGTTTTAAAATACATACTAATTTTTCTCCAATAGCACGTAAGTGTACTTACCTTTGAAAACATTTTTAAAAGATAATATCAAGGCACCCTATTGCTTTTGTCTGTTTCACATTTGTGAAATTTATTAATAGAGATAGAGTAGTCCATGAATCGTTGCTACATGTAACTGAATCTATTTTTACTAAATTCCAAAATTAAATAAATGCACCCAAAACTGGTCTTTGTAACAGAACTTTCAGCCTTCAGCTATAGGATAAAAAATCACAAAGTTTCTTGCCATGAATGAGAACATAAAAAGAATAGTATCCTCTTTTGGAAAGCTCTTTCTTTTTTTTTTATTTTTTTTATAATTTATTTTTTCTCAAATCGTAATTCATTCACACAGGGGTTATAAACACAGAAAGGCAGGATGTGGGGAAGGGAATGACACTGGAGTGTGGGTGTTCAGGGGGAATACAGATATCTTCAGAACCGGGTATCGGCTGGGTGAAGGTTCAGGGGGCAAGTCACTATGACTCTGCCTATGACTCGCTTGTCCTTATCTAAGTTGGTATTGTCTGCCAAGGCTACCTATTTACAAGGTCTATGACTACTCAGGCTTGTAAATTTCCACAAAAGCTGCCTGTTTACATTAGCTTATAGCCATCTGTTTCAATGTCAGAAAGCTCTTTCTTAAAGACATAAAGAATGAGCATTGTGGAAGTATATTGGTAATATACATTACTGTAATATAGTAGTGAAGTGCTTGAATTGCAAGGCTGAAACCCTCCATTCATTTTAGAGATCATGTAAAAAGTGCCAAGTAAGAGTTTTCATGTCAGTATCACCTCGGTATTTATTATGACAATGTTAGATAGGCATAAGCAAGGTCGTCACCGTGGTTTCCTGGCTAGCCTGCCTTGCCTAAAAGGTCAGGAGTCAGTTCTGGGCTAGTAAGAGACCCCGCCTGTAAAAAGGTATTTGTGTGTGTGTGTGTGTGTGTGTGTGTGTGTGTGTGCGTGCGTGAGAGAGAGAGAGACAGAGACAGAGACAGAGAGAGAGAGAGAGAGGGAGAGGGAGGGAGAGGGAGAGAGAGGGAGAGCTAGAGAGAGAGAGAGAGAGCTAGAGAGAGAGAGAGAGAGAGAGAGAGAGCGAGAGAGAGAGAGAGAGAGAGAGAGAGAGAGAGAGAGAGAGAGAGAGAGAGAGAGAGAGGATGTACAGTTGCCATATTCAAAACAAAAAATAAGTATGAAAATTCTTTCTAATTTGTATAAAAGTCAGTAAAACATAACCTCATTTCTTACAGCCTTAAATAACAGAGATGAATACTCTAAGATATGTATGAAAATGAGTTTCTTCTCCATGTAATAAATATAAAAATATCAATGAAGTGTGCAAATAATTTACTGCTCTTGGTGACAATATCAACATTTTAGCAATCATTGACCACATAGTATATCATTTTTCAATAGATTGTGTTTCATAGGCAAGAATCTATTTATTATTGATACCTGTTGGCAATGAGAAAATCATGCCACTGAGGATATCGATCAAACTCCAGGGGATATCCTATGCATGTTCATGAGTAGTTGCCCAACACAAAATGAGATCTATGATTTTTTATTTATTTATTTGTTGGTGGTAGACATTTTAGTTTAGTGTAGTTTGGTGTAGTGTTGTATTGGTATTTGACCATTTGTTCTGATTTGTGTGTGTGTGTGTGTGTCTGTGTGTGTGTGTATGTATGCCTGTTCATGTGCTTGTGCGTGTGCCTGTGTGTGTGCGTGTGTGTGTGTGTGTGTGTGTGTGAGAGAGAGAGAGAGAGAGAACAAGAGAACAAGAGAACATAAAATTGAATGGGAGATGGGGAAGAATTCTCAGAGAAATTTTGAAAGGGAGAAAAATTTGGATCAAATTATATTGCAATGAAAAACATTTCCAAATTAAACAGGGTTTAAGAAAAAAAAGAAATGATTCCAAACTCTCATGATGAAAATGCATTTTCTTTTGCTCAAAATTGTGTAGATCACAAATTAATATGTTTAAATTTATATTGCATGATTTATTTACTTATAATTAGTATGATTGATGAAATTTCTGTTAAAATTATATATTAGAGTTGTGAAAATCCTCATTGTTTATAAACTAACTTAAAATTTTAATTTTGAATTTTAATATATGTTTTTAATAAAATTTACACAACCTGGAAATATATTTAATTAAATATATACAGCTTAAGCCAAAACAGAAATACTGAGATAGCATATACAATACCAATAGATTAAATATTCTGAATTGTCACATACTTACTAAGCAATCTAATTTCTTAGACTGTATAACATTTCACATTACAATACGTTTTGATCATTTTAAAAGATTGACTGATTAATGTATGATATTATGTCTAAAGTGTTTATCAACCATACAGGTAGTTAATACTTAATTTATCTACTTAATACTGTCAATTATTATTTTGAATCTTCCCTTCCTCAAATCATACACATTTATTGTTGACAGTTTTAAGTTTTTTGAATATATAAGTACA